GCCAGGGTGGACTTGGGAGGAGCACCTCTTGTGCTCCTTGATCTGAGATGAAGTTCCCAGGCTGCCACTCTGCACCCACTGACGCCACGCCCATGTTCCCCTCAGGTCTCAAGGTCTCTGCACCATGACGGGGAGGGTCCAGTCACCATTCTGTGTGTCAGTGTGCAGTTCCTTCCCAAGGAAGCTGATGGCTTGGTTGTTGGGAGCCCTGGTGGCACAGTGGGCTGCTAATTGCAAGGTCAGCAGTTCAAAACCATCAGCCACTTGGAGGGAGAAAAATGGGGCTTTCTACTCACACTGCTCCAGCCTTGGGAACCCACGGGGGCAGTTCTGCCCTGTCCTGGAGGGTCACTGGGTCTACATCGACTGGGTGGCAGTGAGTCTGGTTTTGAGTTTTTCAGAGAAACCTCTTTGTACATAAGAGACACGCAGTGTCACGGTAGGAATGAGGTGGAAGGTCAGCAACTTGCTTTCATAGGGTTTAGAAAGCGTTCTTTATAATCTTAAATTTTATTGTGAATTTGGTGAAGGTTTAGAGCAGATCAGTTTTCCACTCACTGATTTCATGTGTTTCTTGTCATTTATGGCAGTCCCAACAATGGAGCATCACCTCTTCCGTTTCCGGTTTCCATTCGCCCTTCTTTCCCTCCCCTCCCGCCCTGGAGCTGTGTCCTGGGAGCACGTGCTGCCTGTGGATCGTGAATGATCTGGTTGCTTGTTCCAAGCAATAGATGTGTCTCTCTACTCTGACTGCTCACCTTACAGACCTATCATTTGGCTGAAAATTGAGCCATTGGGGAAGAGGAATAGTTTTAAGGGTTCCACCAGTCTCTAACCAATAGGACAGGTCTTGTTCCTCTTTCTCCTCCCCCGCTGTCCCAGGACTTCCCAAGGTGAAATATCAGAGGTCGGTCATGGCAGTCAGGCACCGTCTAGTCCCTCTGGTCTCAGGGTCATGGAGGCTGGGCTTGGTGGGTTCCTTGTTCCTTTGGACCAGTCATTTCCACGCGTCCTTGATTTTCTTCCTCACGGAGCCCTGGTGCCGTAGTGGTTATGCACGTGGCTGCTGTCTGCATGGATGGCAGCTCGAAACCACAGCAGTTCTCAGGGAGAAAGACTGGGATTTCTACTTCCATAAACAGTTACTGTCTTGGAAACCCACAGGGGGGGTCAGAGTTAGCAGCAACTCGATGGCAGGGAGTTTGGTTTTTGAGTTTCATTTTCTGCACTCTCCTTTGCCCCAAACTGAGAGACGCGCCATAAATCCGTTAGGAACCCAGTCACCACGCTCCGAAGTAGGGTGTGGGGCTTTCTCTGGGGGCTGTTATGTCTCGATGGCTGTGTGTGTGAGGCGGATGTCCAGGTCCACTGCGTTCACCCCCAAGGCCGTGGCTCCAGGCCTTCTGCTGCAGCAGTCTCTAACTTGATGGCCGCCTCTCATCCTTTCTGGGAATGCTCCTCCTCAGGTTTGTCTCTTTCTGGCCACCAGCAGCCTCAGCAGGGGCTGACAGCACAGGGGTCAAAGGAGTTGTGTCACATCCATCGCACGCGTGACTGCTGGGCACAGGGCGGGGAGTCTGCAGTTTGTCAGCCTGCCCGCTGCAGTGCTTGAGGAGCTGGAGGAATGGTGGGAGCACCCCCTAAGCTGTTCAGGGGAGCGGACTTTTCTCCCGAGCCTGGCGTATGTACATGCACACGTGCACCACTGCCCCGGGGTTAGAGCATACCACTCCATAGGGCGTTCCTGGCTGTGATCTTAGTTCCAGGGAATACATGCGCTTAAGCTCAG